TTGCAGTCTCAGGTCGTTCCCATGAAATGAGAAGATTAGAAGATGAGAAGATTAGAAGAAATGAGAAACTTAAACATCAAGTTAACCCTATTCCAAATACGTTTTTAAACTATTCAAATGATGAAAGTTATTGTTGGCCGCCATCTATTCAAATGGGGGTAACTGCTGGAATATTCTTGACTTCAATTTTACTAAAAGAGATGCGCTATCTAGTGTATATAAGATATCTATGGCTCTGAGGTACATGGCTGTTGTCTCTTTCTCGACTTAGAAGTCGAAAAGGAGATGTGGGCACAGAGGAGATACCTCATCTGTGATGTGGGTCTTGAGTTTTCCTGCAAATTCAAGTCCCGAATTCAAGACTCATGCCAGGTCTTGAATTGAAAATGTAAAACCGGGTAACCGGTTATTATTTTTTCGTAATAACCGGGTACCAGGTTATTGCGAAAAAATAATAACCGGTTACCAGGTTATTACGGAAAAATAAAAACCTGGTACCCGGTTATTATTTTTCGGTATTAACCTTCAACCACAGAGAAGAGATATACAGAGAGGAAACAGACACCTCGATAACCTGAATTTTTGTGTCACGCGTTCCACATGCCACGCAAAATCTTCCAGCCAGTGCCGTCGCTGAAATTTCATAGCAAAAGATAGGGAAAACTACAGTGGGTCATTCACACACAAAAAGTGAAATCACCCCACAATAACACGAAACACGCCAACAAATCCGCGATTCACGCCACAATTCACTGATTCACACCACAATTTCACGATTCACGCCACAATTTCACGATTCAAGCCACAAAGAAACTGCTGACCGATCACAGTCTCAATACTCATTAAATTCATTATTTCCCACCTTTTTTCGCGACTGCATGACAGCATGAAATAAGCGTAAACATGGCTGCTTGTTTGTCATGTTTTGCCGAACTTCTAACTTCATACAAGTTTTGCCCGCGTTGTGGACAGAGCCAAAAAAAAATGATGGCGCTAGAACAAGTAAGCTTACTCCAACTCCTACTACGAAATGATCCAGTAATAAAACGTTAGGATACAAACAGTTTAAGAAGCTGAAGGGTGAGAAACGGGCGACATATTTTGGACGTGAGAATAGAAATGCTGAATGTTTAGACAAGAAAAGTTACTGTGAATCAGTTGGTTTCATGAAATACGATGGCGTGGATATGAAAGGACAGACAGGTAAATTGTTGCCTCTAACCATAACAAAGTCTAGTGGATGCGGCCTTCAGTAAATTAAAAGCTCACAGCATGGCGGAAATTAAATCTATTGGAGACTATAAACTTTTGTACTCCGATTCAACAGTTGTCGATAGGCCCTTCCCGAGTATGCTAGCATAATTTTCAGCATAATTTGGCTTAACGAGCATCTTTTTGGATTTTTTTAAAGAAGAATGGCTGGCATAATTTAACATTTTTTCGCTAATTTCGTCTGCATTTTGGATGCTAAAAGCAAAACTTTTTATATTTTTGGTGTTCATGCACTTTTAGTGAGCTTAGGAAAACTATATGTCCTGTTCTATGTCCACAACCATCTTCTGCTGCGGCTGAGAGAGTGTTCTCGACACTCAAATCGTCATTTAACGAGCAACAGGAATGTGCCCTAGCGGACTATTTGCAAGCCAGTATAATGTTGCAGTACAACAAGCGATAATCACTTTAAACAATTACTTATCTTTGTCATTAAGTAAAGTTTTAACATTTTAAAGTTAACGTAATATTTGCAGGAAGCTTTAGTTTACGAAAAGTACACGTCGTTGTGCCTTGGCCGTTATTTTGTGTGTATTTCTTCTAATCAAAGCCAAGCATTTTTTACAACGAAATGAGCATAATTTTGAAAAATGAGCATAATTTGAGCATAATTTTAGGAAACAACAAGCATTGCTATGAGCTTAATATGCCAGTTTTACTAGCATAATCGGGAAGGGCCTAGTTGTCGAGAAGCTTTGAGAATCTGACGAATCATTTGTACTTCACAAGTATAAGAAAGAGTATGGGAAACCCTAGAGTCGCATTACATTTTACCTATCGTTGAAAACAGATTTGACGAACTATGAACTTACTGCTTTGAAAAAAGCAATTTATAGTTCACCCTTGTGTGAGAGTCAAGGTGAGAGTGATTCAGAAGGAAGTCAATCCAAGAAATTGAAGACAGCACAGGGGCGGATTCAGACAGGTTTGACAGGTTTATATAAACCTGTCAGATTTTCCAAAGAGAGAAAAAACCTCCATGTATATAACTAATTTAAAGAATATTCTGTTTCATAAAATTGATGTTGTCTAATCTATTACGCCACTTAATAAACACTGTTGTTGAAATTTGATTATGGATTACCGAGCGTATAATTAAGAACTTATCGCCCTGCATGGTTTCCTCTTATGAAATGTTGTAATACTAGACTAATAATCTGAGAATATATCGTCGTGGGTCGTGGACTTGTAAACATCACATGAATCACACATAACTGCCCGCAATTATGAGTAAACCGGTGGTCAGAGTTTTCTCCATGAGAGTAAACCGGTCGATACGCCATTCGATTGGCTAAACGGCTGTGCTCCGGCGGATGTAAACCGGTCATAAACCTGTGAGTCGAGCAGTATTTAGAGAAAACTGGGCATGAAAGTTAACAGAACTCGAGGACGCGCGAAATATGTTTATAATTTTGCGTGACTGAATCTTTGCGTTGGCGATAGAAGCATTTACATGGATTTTGAAGGTTTGTTTAGAAGTATATAGTCTAAAGTTATAACGGTAAGCTATTTCTACTTACTGTATAGTAAATATCGATTCATCAACAAGCGTATCGATGTTTATACGTGTAACTACAGTCTATACTCATGATAGGGCGAAATATGATAATGTACGTATAATCTTGCATGACAAAATCATTGCATTGGCGAGAGAGAATCAGGAAATGATTGTGATTATTTGTGAAGCTTTATTCACGCTCTTGCAGTTTGGTTTCTAGTTCATTGTTAAAGTTGGTTTGAAAGCGTATAGATCTAAAATTACAACTATGTTTATATTAAAAGCATCTCTACTTGTACTGATAATAACTATTGATGCGTCAGCAATTCAGTTGCCAATCCTATATTTTCAGCACTAGCTAATAGGTTTCCAAAAAGGTTCAATTCATCGTTTGAGCTGTGTGTTAGTCCAAAATTCTCTTAAAAGATATATTTTCTAATCATTAAATTCATTTAAAAAGTGACGCCAGAACGCAGGAAATGCTGTTTCAGAGGCCCAAATTTTAAAAATTTCCCGGGGGAGCATGCCCCCGGACCCCCCTAACGGTTTTGTGGACCTAGTAAACCGGTCACCCAAAACGCTGAATCCGCCCCTGGAGCACTTCTTCAATCAGTGGGCTTTTCTAATCCTTCTGATGTGCAAACATAGTTGAGATACTCTTGGACATCCTGATTATCCTGATTAACCGGATCAGCCACATGCTGTCTAACCTCATTAAGCTTCTCGGCATTCACAGGTTGTTTCTGATCCTCACTGTCATGGCATTCTGGTAGTAAGTAATATCACTAAAACAGAACCACATACATTCCTTATGAATAACATTTCCATATTCAAATTGACCACTATACATGAGATCTTTAAATAGATTAATCCACCATGATGATCTACTTCTTTTAAAACAAGACCACCATGCTTTAATACGTTGGTTTCGCTTTGATTCACCATACCTATGAGCTTTCTCGCCTGCATACTCATCTGTAGCATCTACACGAAAATAGCACTGAGCTGCTGCAATATTGCCATTTTCAGTGCCGCAGTCACTCTGTACTATGAGAGGACACCCTTCATTTTCGTCAACACAATCTAAGTAGAAACGCAGTACTACAGATGGATAGTTATTTGATCTTGAAACATTCAACCACAAAACTTTGCGCTGAATCCATCCACACACCCATGTATTGGGAATACAAAATCTGTCAACTTGTCATATCCATCGATATGCCAGGTATGGTTAGGGCCCAAGCTCCAGTAACTCCTGCGTCTTACCCTTCTTCTTTTCTGCAATTCACAACCGTCTGGATCAATTTCCTTCATTAGCCTTTGTACAAGGTCTCTGGGTGCTGTTAACCCATGCCCCATTCTGAGAGAATGCAACATAGATCTGTATCCAAATAAACACCCAGGGTCATCCATTTCTTTTCTTATGGCTTCTCTAATCTGGTCAACATCAATAGCGTCCCTACTTCTTGCTAGATTAAATTATTGCAATCAACGTTTAAGAGTAGATAATGACATGTTTATATTATGATACATGGACATTAATTGCAGTATGCATGAGTAGGTGAAGCCACAATAGAAATACATTTCAATAATTTCTCCTTCAGTCATTTCTCCCTCTTGAGTTATGCTTCTTCCACATTCAGGACAAAAGTTAAAGAAATCCTCGAGAGCTTCTCCACACTGAATGCACTGGCCGTTGTCAGCCATGTTTACCGCTTATTTCATGCGGTCGCGAAAAAAGGCGGAAAATAATTAATTTAATGAATATTGAGACCGTGATCGGTCAGCGGTTTCTTTGTGGCGTGAATCCGTGAAATTGTGGCTTGAATCGTGAAATTGTGGTGTGAATCGTGAAATTGTGGTGTGAATCCGTGAAATTGTGGCGTGAATCGCTGATTTGTTGGCGTGTTTCGTGTTATTGTGGGGTGATTTCACTTTTTGTGCGTGAATGACCCTTATCGGCCACCGTAGAAAACCCATGGAACTTTTGTTCAATAAATTATTGTAGAATAACGGTAAGCGATAACTTTTATTGATTTCTTTTTATTAAAAGTGTTAACATAACATTTTATTTTGCAAAAGTTTGTTTTTTCCCTATCTACTCCTTATTAAAATCGTTAAAAGCAGTGCAACTGCATGGCTGGGAGTTTCAGATGCTCATATATAAAAAACAAAGCAGCAAATGATATAAATTCCTCAAAATATAACTCTCGCATAAAAAAACATGAATACTTCTATAATACGCATGGTCAAAATTTAATAAAATAGTGAATTAATATAATTTTCTATAGTTAATAGACTGAATATATTGGCATGACACAATTTGCGGCGTGTTTCCTCTCTGTACTATCTCTTCTCTGTGCTTCAACTCCGCATTTCCCCCGGAGAAATGAAGTACCATGCACCGCCTGCTTTTACATTGAAGGCTATTACGAAGGAGTTAAAAACCGAAAAAATACAAAGAATATGGTCTGATAAGTTTGTAAAGAGATTTCGAGCACTGATAAAACTGATAATCTCATATGTGAGATTATTTATGACAATTTCACATGTGAAAATTGTCGCTTTTCAATTATCGCTTTTCTGTAAAAATTATCACTTTTCAAAGACTGTCCTTTTATATAATAAACAGAAAAATACGTAAGTGCTTGGAAATACCAGATTTATTTCTCGACTCGAAATCGGCCGTACTTCCGCGCACCCATGTATTATTCTCTATATTGAATAATATAATTATCTTCATCTGTCCATCTAACCGTAAAAACTACACTTAGGTCGCTACATTATGCACCTTATCAGCACATCTTTATGTAACCAATCTTGTTCCCAGAGCAATGCCTGTGCACGGGCTAGGATGGCATTGGCTCTGGGGAAATTGACAGCCGGAACCCCTAAATTTAGGGGTTCTGGTTCTTTGTCAGCATGCACGATTGATAAACGTTAAACCAATCACAGCACAGGAAAAATACAATTTCCCCAGAGCCAATGCCCGCATCCTAGCCCCGCACAGGCATTGCTCTGGGTACGAGATTGTTATGTAACCAATCAAATTTGAGATTTTTGGCTATGCAAATTTTATAACTGAATATAAGCTCGTTTACGTCCTTAGATGCAGGTCAACTAATAGCAATTCTATTTCAATTCCCAGGGGCCTAAAATCGTTTATGCTTAAGAATTGCAACGTGGATTTCTTAGGAAATTCCGCATTTTTTTATACTCCCTGTACAGGGTGTTTAAAAAAATCAAGACCTTTAGAAATCAAGATATTGTTGTTAAGCACAAGATTTTATTAAAAATGCTAGATGCGCGACCAGGATTCATAATAAAGTTTCAGAAACGTTCTCTGATGGTAAATTTTTATTTAAAACACGAGCTTTCGACTGCCAGTCTGCAGTCTTCGACAGGTAAAGTGATATTAAATCATATAAACTATTCTACGGATGTAACTACAAGGACAGTGGTTTACAATTACAATTACAACTATAATGACATGCAATAAACAATGAGTAGTTCCGCCTACGTAAACTCTAGTGAAACAAGTATACTTATAAATATAAAACTATGTCTATGATCTGCTCTTTTCTAATAAAAATCTATACTGTTCTGGTAAATTTTGTGCATTGTTGTCAGAATTGACTGTGGTTGCTGTATGCCAGGACTCCAGTGTTGCTCTGTGTCGATAGGTTGCCTTGTCTAAGATTTTGCACTCATCAAAGTTGATTTTATGATCCTGAGTCCAAGCATGTCTACCGTAAACCTACGCACACTGACAGATACCTAGACTACAACTCACATCATGACAAACAACACAAGATCAGCATAGCACGAACACTCCTACACCGAGCAGCCCATCTCCCTAACACGAACGAAGGCAAGCGACAAAAGAAAGATCGTGTTTTTGACACCCTGAGAAATAATGGGTATACTAAAATATTTCTGGACGAAGTTGAGAAGAGACGTGCAAGGGAAACAGAATTAATTTTTTTTTTATTTAAACATATTTTATTACAGACATTTTCTCCAAGAGCATAGCTCATCAAGGGAGATTATGTCGGATTATTTACAAACTTTAGGTTACTCACATCAAGACAAAGAGGATTACATAGAAAAAAAGATTACATCAAAACAAATCGAATAATCATAGTGTGGAAGAACTTCTGGTATTCATTCTCAAGCTTTCCATGAAACATATTATTATAAGAAATTTATATGGAAGAATTTACCACACCAATGTTTTACAAACCAATGTTTTACAAAACAAGTTTCAATAAAAACAAAAAAAATAAATAAAAAAAAAAGTTACTCCGCCTGAAACCGTTTTGTATTTAAAATAAATAATTGGACATTTTGCATTAATTTTACATTATCTTCATGTCCAAGATTTTCCGAACCATGCAAGAATTAATTTGTGCCATCACCTGAAGAACCTGTACGTACATTTTTTGAAAATATCGAACCAGAGAACAATTCCAGCTACGCAGTCCTCCCCTACATTAACGGCTCAACGGAACCCCTGAAAAGACTACTCAAACGATACGGCATCAGAACCACAACGAAACCACTCCGAACACTAGAACAAGGTTTTCCGTCACCAAAGGACAGACCACTTCCCGAGAAACAAACCAACGGTCGTGTACAAGATTAATTGCGCAGACTGCTCCTGGAGCTACATAGGTGAGACTGGTAGAGCTTTTGAAACGAGGAAGAAGGAACATAAAAGAAACGCGAAACAATCTAAATCCGGCTCAAACATAGCAAAACATGCTTGGATCATAAAATCAACTTTGATGAGTGCGAAATCTTAGACAAAGCAACCTATCGACACAAAGCAACATATCGACACAGAGCAACACTGGAGTCCTGACAGCAACCACAGTCAATTCTGACAACAATGCACAACATTTGCCAGAACAGTATAGATTTTTATTAAAAAAGAGCAGATCATAGACATAGTTTTATATTTATAAGTATACTCGTTTCACTAGAGTTTACGTAGGCGGAACTGCTCATTGTTTATTGCATGTCATTATAGTTGTAATTGTAAACCACTGTCCTTGTAGTTACACCGTAGAATAGTTTATATGATTTAATATCACTTTACCTGTCGAAGACTGCAGACTGGCAGTTGAAAGCTCGTGTTTTAAATAAAAATTTACGATCAGAGAACGTTTCAGAAACTTTACAAGATTTTATGCTCCTGGGAATTTAAAATAGCTTCTAATCGTACGAAGGAGCATAAAGCCTGGTTAGGATTCCATATGGTCGTAACGGTCGTATAAAGATTTAGTCACGATCTTTCTCATCACCCGAGATACAACATTTGAGAACTGAAAATACGCGGAGCGATTATAACTATTTCGAGAATACTTATGATTTTAATATATGTGGTTTATAGGTATAAACTATTATAAACTGGCCGTCAAGAAAGCTTGAGACTCTATTTTTACGATCATATGGAAACCAGTTAACTGCATAAAAATTGTCAAACCAAATTACAGTTTTAAATAACTACGTCATGCGTCGTCATTCACCGTGGGTTCAGCATGGTACGCGAATATGGCACGCCAAGATAGACAATAATCGATAAGCCGTATATATTTATTATCAAGACCAAAAATATAGGACGAATAAATATAGGACTGAGCGGAAGTTAGTATTCCAAAATATTTAGGATATAGTGGAAACACATAGTGGAAACACAACAAAACAAAGAGCATGGTTTTTTATCGCGATCGAGACAAAGTGACATTATATTTTAGTTTCTCTTTATATTTATAATTCTTTTTATGAAATAAATAGTAAAATAACCAAAAGTGAGATTGGGAGTTATTGTACCGACGAAGTTCCGTACATTTAGTGGTGCCGTGACCAGGATTAAACGGGAAATTGTGCAAAATACACACGAGACTTTGAGTATTAATTTAAAAGTATGACCGACGGTGAATCGGGTACAAACATGAGTGATTCAAGTCAAGTTGATGAACAAGAAAAGATTTTAGAGAGTAAAATAACTAAAGCAGTCGATAAACTAAAGTATTATCTGGAGGAAACGGACAAACTCGTCGAGAATAATGAAAATCCGAGTTGCGAATTGCATCGAAAAGAACTGACGAAGTTCGAGACGAATTAAATGATCTTATTTCACGCGTACAAGAGCTAAAATTAGACTCAGGAAACACAACGCAAAGGGCGATCAGGCAATGGAAAAAGGATTTGAAAGCGAGTTTTGCACCATTATTGGAGAAAATCAATGGAGTATCAGTGAACATAGAGAAAAAACGTTGTTTAGATTTGGAGACAGAAAAGTTAAAGGTGAAATTTGAGAACGAAGAGAAGTTTAGAATCGAGTTACAAGAGAGAGAGAGAAAGCACTTTGGGAAGAGAGATTAAAAGCTGAGATCAAGATGACCGAG